ACAGTTCAGTTCAATAGTGTGGTGATATACTGTGTACACTAATAAATTTGCCTGAAGATCAGAGAGACAGAGGAACAAGCCACCTCTTACCTCTAGGACTCCTCAGTCTGAAAAGCTTTCCTCAGCTGAAAGACTTTAGTTTTTGTCTCCTCACACCTCATATACTTTTCTCCACCCACTCATATCATTTCCTGTCTCAGCTTTCCTAGTGCTGGGATTAAAGGCATGTGACTCCCAAGTATTGGGATTAAAGGTGTGTGCCACCACTGCCTGGCCTCTGTGTTTAATCCAGTGGCTTGTTCTGTCCTCTGATCTTCAGGCAAATTTTATTAGGGTCCACAATATATATCACGACACAATAGAATAATCATCTAGGGGAAACAGGGATGCTTATCTGTTGGTCTTCTTAGAAAACTGAGGCAGAACCATCACATATTAAGACAGTTCACCTGGATGTAGAGACCCATGGCCAGGCCCCGGGTGGAGCTCCGGGAGTCCAATTAGCGAGAAAGAGGAGGATTTATATGAGCGAGAATTGTTGAGACCAAGGTTGGATAAAGCACAGGGACAAATAGCCAAACGAATGGAAACACATGAACTATGAACCAATGGCTGAGGGGCCCCCAACTGGATCAGGCCCTCTGAATGGGTGAGACAGTTGATTGGCTTGATCTGTTTGGGAGGCATCCAGGCAGTGGGACTGGGTCCTGTGCTCAGTGCATGAGTTGGCTGTTTGAAACCTGGGACTTATGCAGGGTCTCTTGGCTCAGCCTGGGAGGAGGGGACTGGACCTGCCTGGACTGAGTCTACCAGGTTGAACTCAATCCTCGGGGGAGGCTTTGCCCTGGAGGAGGTAGGAATGGGGGGTGGGCTGGGGGGAAGGGAGGGGGTGGGAGGGGGAAGAACAAGGGAATCCGTGGCTGATATATAGAACTAATTATATTGTAAAATAAAATAAAATAAAATTTTAAAAAAAGATGGTTCACTTCTTGTTCCCTCTGTGGTAGATAGTTCTGGAAGGATATGAATTATCAAATGAAGAAATTATGTGTGAGCAACCCCTTAGTCACCAGGTGGTGTAATAGTGCTAAGTTTAAAACATTACCTATTACACCCTTGCTAGTTCTTTTTAATTTATTTAGTCTCCAGACAAAGGGAGTAGAACCTTTGTTTCATTTTAATGGTCCCTTAAGATTCTGTGTGTATTTGGGGGTGATGTATAGGAACCCATACCCTAGCATGGACCAAATCTACTAGAAAATAATCTGTGTGTTTTATGGATGCATGGAGGTGTCAAGATGGTAGCTGGATATGTTTAGAGGGCAAGAGAGAGGTGTACACTAAACATAGGCATCTCTGATTCATCAAGAGACAGCTTCTGAAGCATGGGGTTAGATAACAATAGCTAGAGAGAATGCAGATGGAAGACAGCTGTAATACAGGTGATGTTTAAAAAGATACAAGAGAGGATGGGCCAGGAAATGACAGGAAAATGAAGAAGTATAAGGATTCATCCATGGAAAATGATGCTCAACAAATGCAGGAGACAAAGGTGTGGCTTTGTGCATGACATGGTGTTTATTGTGACGCAAGTGGGTGATGAAAATGAAATAAACTGTGTGAAGAACAGAACATGTAACAGAGAAAGGCAATTCCTTGGGAAATTTTGCTGTAAACAGGCCAAAGAAGTAGGGTATGAACTGGAGACCAAAAAAGACTATTCACTGATAAGACAAGGCTCACAAAGGGCAGGGAACTATATATACAGTGTTGGCCTGTATATAAGAGCAAGCACATGAGGCGAGAAGGTTACATATAATTAGAGGGGCTATAAGCTATAAGAACTCATGCTCTGATATGGTATGTCCCCTGGAAGATAATCCAGCAGTGTGAGGCATTAAGAAAGAGCTGGTAGAGGACAGTGAAGGAATTATTTCTGTGAGACATGTAGCAAGGTCATTGGCTGGGAGTTTAAGGAATTATTAAGATATCAAAAAGGACACAGGAATAAAGGAAAGAGCTATCTTTGAGAATAAATAAGGAATTTATTATGGAAACATAATAGATGGGTTGATGGATAGTTCTGGGTATCAGTATTCCAAATATGCAATCATAAATACAATATAACTTGAGTAGCAGTTGTGTAGTTATGATATTGGATTTAACAGTTGAAAACTGAAGGAAGCTAGGGGCCGGTTGGGTAACAGTAGAGAATGAAAACCAAGTTACACAGCCATGTTTACAACTTCATAGTCCAATTAACTTTGCATCCATGTTTACACTGGGGCAGATGAGTAAATAAATGTTCCAACTCTGAAGACTCTTTCCTGAGTAGCCCTGTACATAGTTTTAAAATGAAGTGTGTGGCACAGAAAACATTGCGTTTGTTCCATTTTAAACTCAGATCACTCTGAATGCAGTTAAGAACACAGTAAGGTACAATGACATCACACTGAATTTTTGCTTGGTGGTTACATCAGGTGGACATAAATCTGAAGGCACTGTTCAGTCTTTCTCCCCTCTGCCTCCCAAAGGAAGAGGTGAAAGTAAAAGCACTCTTAGGTAGTTTTGGCAGCACTGCAGGTGACAGGAGCATGATGGGAGTTAATAGGAGACAGGGACCACAAACACCCAGGAAGGCCCACCAGCAGTGCTTGGCAGGGAAATGACAACATATATATGCTCTTTGTTATCAAAAAAACAAAAGAGCATAACTTTTAAAATGAAATCAAATGCAAATATTGATACTTTTCATAGACCATATCATAGACACAATAGGTCCTTGTAAAGGTTCTTTCATACACCATGAAAGATACAATGTCAAAGAATACAATACAAAGTCCAACATACCCATGGAAAAATCTGGAAAAGTAAAATACTTTGAAGTGTCTCTCATGGACACTAGACATGTGGAGTAGAAATTTATTAAGCAAAGGTTTTGACATTCTATGTATAGGCTATTCTAACAGGGGTGTCTAAACTGCAGTTCAGAGGCCACATCCAGCTGCATGTGGACAAACAGAGAGCTGTATAAGAAGCCCAACACAAAACCATAAACTGACTAAAAACCATATGTTGTATGTGTGTGATTTGGTTTGGTAGCTCAATTGTAGAGATCATGAGTGTGAACTCTGTAGATGACAACATTGTGTCACAATGTCAAAAGTTTGGTTATGTCATTAAGCCAAAAAAATTAATGTTGCAAAGAGAATTGTGAATGTACAAGGTAAAGAGATGTTTTTATGTAAAGAAATAGGTAATGTGCACAAGGGTTTTGAATTATAAAGTCACAGTTGTAAGAAATTAAGGAAATAAATGGAAATACAGCATTTATATAATATTATACAATTACTTCTAACAGATACATATTTCTTTGTAAGAGCTCCCAAAATACAAAATACAAAAATATAACCAAGAAGAAGTGTGGAGAAGAGATGAGGAACTTGTCTGACTTCAAAACCAAGGAAACTATATTTCAAGGAATTATTAAGATATCTCAGAAAACTATGAAGACATATGGACAAGAAGAATATTTAAAAGATTTTATGTTTTGCCCTCGAGATATAGTTATGACTTTTGAGAGATTTGGTTATAGAAATTTTACAATTACATGAATTTGTGTGTGAAAATGTAAGTTGTATAATGATTTTTAACTGGCAATTATAGACTCCCCAGGAATGAAGTAATGAATGAATGAGTGTAGTTCAAAAGCCTAAAATTCAATGAAGGTTCAGCAAAGATGGCTCAGAAGGTAAAAACACTTGCTGCTGAGCCTGATGAGTTGAGTTAGGTCCCTAGGACCCATGGTGAAAAGACGGAACTGACCCCAACAAATTGCCCATTGACCTCCACATTTATGTTGTGGCATGGACATCGCTCACCCACGTAAGTACATGTAATAAAAATTTTAAAAAGAAATCAGTGCTGAAGTTCTTAGACCAACTCTAAAGTGTAAATGAAAACATATCTTTTATTAAACTATAAATAGGGACATGTGTAGCTTCCTTTCGTTTCTCACCCTGGCCATCGTACAGTTAAGAGTCCTGGACACCACTTTAGCACATAAATATCACTTCGGGCTCTCAGTCTATGGTAGAAGGCACAATAAAGCCAAAATATGGTCTTTGAACACACAAAGAACACAAATGCAAGACAACATAAGTCGAGTAAAAAGGAGAGGAGCATGATAACCGCTTAGGAGGGAACAGTCACTAAGACTAGACATTTTAAAAATAAGACAAGAATATTATGAAAAGCATCAGGCTGCTGAATGTAAAAACCTAACATAGAGAAGAATTTCTTAAACAGGAACCAAATGCATAAGCCATACGGGAAAAAACTAATAAATTAGTCTCTATCAAATTTAATGTTTCCTTTCATCAAGAGATACTATGGCTCAAGGGCCATTTAAATGTATAGAACTGATAACTGATCCAGGATGCATAAACATCTACAAATCAAGTGAGAAAAACAAACAAATATAAGCACAAACCCATCTAGTTGAAAAGCAAACAAACAACATAAACAAGCACTTAACAGAAAGAAAAAGCAAACAAAAATGGTCAACAAGAAACAGGCATTAAGATATCCTGACATTTCAGTAGTTACTTCACACTCCTCAGAACGGCAAAGTTAAAAAGGTCTGAACAAGAATACTGCTGGAAACATTCACATACTCACTTAGTGGCAGTATATACTAGCACAACAGACCCCAGAGTAATTTGGCATCAGCTAGTAAAGCTGCACTTGGGGAAATTCTATTCCCAGCAGTTCCTTCCACTTCTAGGATTTTCTTTGGAAGAGACATGTGCAAGAGTGTTCACACTGACAACCCATGAGGATGAAACATAAATCATGTCACTGTTTAATGCATGATACAGAATGTCTTTATGTTTACCTGAACATTGTATTTCTTAAACTGGCAGATTATATATACGTATTACCTACTCTTTTTGTTTTTTTTTTCTCAATTTTTCATAAAATTAAAAATAGTAACTTACCAAGCTATCCACATCAATGCTGGTGTTTACAGCCCATTGCAAAGTACTCATGATATTCATAGCTAAAGTTAGAATAATACCAGCCGATCCTTCTCCTTCACCTAGACATGGAAAAGGGGTTTGAACAAGGACATGTTATCTCTCTCTTCTGTGAATCACTTTACTCATATCTCCCTCATCACACGTCATTTCATTCAAATTTCAATTTAATGCTGATGTTAGTGACTCCTAGGAACAATAATGCCCTCATAGACAAAGCTTTCAGCCAATTTTTAAAATCAGTAGTGACTGAATATTGGAAAATGGTTACACTTTCAAATGCTGTTTATGTCCTGAAGGTAATGTTGGTATTGGGTAGACAACACATTCGTCTCTTCTACTATTATTCTGTATGTAACAATAAAAAGCAAATACTAGATTGAACACCAGAAAAAAAAGGCCCTGAGTCCAAATGAGCTCCTCTACAGAAAGTCAGAGGGATGCATACATTTGAGTAGCATGGGCAGACATGCTAAGCACCTTTGCAATAGTCACTGTTTCTGCTAATCAGAGGTTGTCCAGGAGAAAGTAGATTTTGTGTGTTACCAGGCAGTCAGAAAACTAATGTCAGCTATTTCTCAAGAGAGAAGTTTGCCCATCATAATAAAAGACAGAAGAAAAAAGACTAATAAGCTTGAAAAGATAGTGCTAAGATGTTTTGAAGTAAATTTCTTTTAGGATTAGGAAGGACAACTAATGAAAATTTTTTAAAAATTCAGAATTATGACCATAAAAATTTTCTAAGATAAATGTTCATAAATTATTATTAATTCAGGTTATCATGTCCCAACTGATAGTGCTTGAATCTAGCACTAAATAACTATCATAAAGTTAAACACAGAGATGAATAAGCCATAGTATTATTGACTGAAAATTTTCAAGTCTATATTTTCTCCAATTTAGCTCCACCATAGAGAGCACAGAGGATCTCTACTGTTAATTCAAGCCACAGGAAGTTCATGAGGTTGTGATACTTGTAAATGAAGACAACTAATCTTAAGGGAATGAGGGAGAGAGGAGAGGAGGAGGGAGGGAGAGGGAGACACAGGAAGGAAGGAAGGAAGGAAGGAAGGAAGGAAGGGAGACACAAGAGTGGACTGAAGTGTCCACAAGAGGAACTGAACACAAGCTAGCATCTGTTCGAGAGACAGAAACATGACTATGCCTGACTTTCTAGCTACCCCAGTGTGACATCCACCTGCTGTGGGATGGTCTGTATGTCAAGTGTGTTGCTGATTAGTCAATAAATAAATCACTGATTGGTCAGTGGCTAGGCAGGAAGTATAGGCGGGACAAGGAGGAGAATAAAGCTGGGAAGTGGAAGGCTGAGTCAGAGAGACACTGCCAGGTGCTGCCATGACAAACAGCACGTGAAGATGCCAGTAAGCCATGAGCCACATGGCAAGGTATAGATTTATAGAAATGGATTAATTTAAGATATAAGAACAGTTAGCAAGAAGCCTGCCACGGCCATACAGTTTGTAAGCAATATAAGTCTCTGTGTTTACTTGGTTGGGTCTGAGCGACTGTGGGACTGGCGGGTGACAGAGATTTGTCCTAACTGTGGGCCAGGCAGGAAAACTCTAGCTACATCCACCCTGAAGCTGTATGAGGCCTTTTGATAACTCATCAAATGGTGCTTCCTTTGGGGTTCAGAAATTCTATTCTTATAATCAAATAATGTTGCAAATTTGGCATTGGTGTGGCATTCACTCTGAACTTCTGTCATATATAAAATAATATGTAATGTTTTATACATAATAAAATGTTATATATAAAATATACAGCTTTTTGACTCAGAAATCGAACACCTTAAAATAGAGGTACTCATTTATCTGCATAATTTTTATTTTCTTATTGTGACAGACATTATGTCACATACTTTATGTCTTCTTTTGCTCTAAAATCTTAAATTCCAGACCTTTGTGTTTGAAAAATGATGCAGTTTTATCTACATTATTTTACTTCTGTGCCAATTTTTACTCATTCAAAATTCATATAAAACAAAGAATTTTACAAGTAAGTAATTGTTAAAAGAAAAAAATTTACAGGAAGGGTGAAAGGAGAAGAGAGAGAGAATGTGTGTGTGTGTGTGTGTGTGTGTGTGTGTGTGTGTGTGTATGTGTGTATTCTCTTCCCCCATTCAGATAATTCTTTCATAAATCTATTAACTCTGAAGTTAGGACCCTTTGTCAACATTACCATGAAAAGATATTTTTCCTGTCAATCACATGTATGCTCTCTGAATCAGTATCTCATCATTTTTAAAACAGTAGAACTAGGGAAAATACCATATAAACCTTTAAACCAAGTAAATTACTTGGACAAAAAGCAAGAGTGCAAAGAAATTGCTTATACTGGTTAATAAGCTCCACAAGTCTATTTTAAAACATCTAAAATTTTAATATAAAAATATGGCATTTTAGTCATTGACAAAAATTTTATTTAAATGCTCAGCAAAGTTGTTAATAAGTTCACAGTACCTGTTGTTAAAATGGAAATGAAGGTAACAACAATGAAGAAGAGGACAAAGATCATGTCTATTCTCATTTGGAACCAGCGTAAGGTTGACAGATACATAAACCAGTTGGCAGTGTGCAAATTCAGAGCTTTGTGGAACAGAGTTTCAAAGTAAGGTTGGCGTCCAAAGGCACGAAGCGTCCACAGTCCTTTTAAGCTTGTAACAAGGTGGGTGAAAATTGGACTCCTGCCTGTGAATCATCCCATAGGAGATAATGTGAAGCTTGTAATACAGAACAGACTTTCACAGTACCATGTTTCTGACAAAGATAAACTCAGGAGTAACAACACCATAAGTATCACTGGTTGGAGGGGCTCTCACCCCAGATGAGAGCTTACTTCTATAATGCATGGCCGTTCGCTTTCACCTGTCAACCATGGTTAATAACTTAGTACAACCATTCTCCTCTATAACTCACATTTCTTGGCAAACAATAGTCATTATTCTTGGCTAATCCCAAATTACTAGTGGCTGAGAAAATAGGTTTTGTCCCTAAGTCAATTTTCTAAATTTCTCAATGGAAAATTTCTTTGAATTGATTTAGTTTTTAAGTTTCAAAGAAGGGGGAGGTTGGTGGGGCAGGAGGAGGGAAGAAGGGGATCTTTTATTGGTATGAAAAATGCATAAAAAATTCTTAATTAAAAAAAGCACAATTTAAAAATTGGTCTTTCTGAAAGACATGCTCCCTGAAGAACTCAGGCAAAGAATAACCAAAAGAAGCCAGGACATCAAGGAAAGGGAAGAATTCTGTCTGGTTTCCTTTGAGACCTTGTAGAAACTGTTCCCTTGAGGAACAGCAGCATTACCGTTTTTACTTTGACCAGTGGAAGAAATTATGAATGTCTATGCATAACCATCGTAAGGTTATATATTTGTTTGAAGGCCAAAACAAAGTCATATAGATTGGCAAAATTAATCCATGTGCACTTTGTAAGTTTATTACACTTCTCAAAAATCATTGTTGGGCTGGGGAGAGTTCAGTAGAAAGTATGCTTTCTACACAAGCGTGAGGACCTCAGGTTATGAAGCATTGGGTCTGGCACTGAATGTCTGTAATGCTAGAGGTCAATACAGGTGACTCTCAGGGCTTCCTGGCCAGGCATTCCAGCTGAAACAGCAAGTTTCAGGTCTGTGAGAGACTCACTCTCACACACACACACACACACACACACACACACACACACAGAGAGAGAGAGAGAGAGAGAGAGAGGAGAAGAAAGAAAAAAAGTAGAAAAGCAATTGACAAAGATTTCTTGACATCAGCCTTGGGTTTCCACACATGCCTGCATGGGCAAGCGCACGCGCGCACACACACACACACACACACCACTGTTATATAATATTAGAGAGATTTTATTTTTTTTTGGAAAGTAGGATAATGGTAGTGAATCACAAAAATGCCCTGTGGCTCCCCTAAGCCCAGGGGAGCCCTGCACATTCATGCTGTACCTTCGGATTCCAGTTGCTTGAGTTGTTGGGAGGTATGAAGGAAATATGCCCTCAGTGAGATAAAGGCCGCTAACCCAGGCACCGTTGCCAGGAAGATGTAGGGCTGTAAAGCTGAAACCACTATTATAGCTCCAATCACAATGAACAGCAACTGTGGGGTCAAGGAAAGCATGGTGGTGAGCGCAGATTTTCACTTCATAAAGTAGACAGGGTGTATTGGTGACTTATATCTACACATGTTCTTGCATTTGCTCCATTCTTAATAAGGAAACAGTGCATTCTCCAAGGAGAATGCTATCTCAAAGGCAGTTTCTTCAGGTTACATGGAAACAATTTTTATAATTGTTTAGTTTGCTGATACTTAAATTGTTGAAGTTTTACATGGTGCTTTCTGATCTTGGGATATTTTTATTTAGGAGATACAAATTGTATAATGAGTAAATTTTACAGGAATATGATTTTCTTCGTCCAACCCTTTGAAAAAAATGAAGCTTTTGAAATAATTTAAGTATAAATGTTATATTCTGTGATTTTGTTAAGAGAGTTCTTTAAAATGGAGCATTCTTCACAGAGCATTTTGAGTGACAAATATCTGTATTAAATATAGGTTTAGTCATGTAGGTAAGCTCACTTTTCTGACACAAGTTTTTCATATTTAATATTGAAAGAAGTATTATTTAATATTTTACTTCCTTCTCAAAACTCACCTATTCCCTTGTAATAATTGGAGATATTCCAATAACTCAAAAAGATTATGAGATTGTGGATTTAATTTGAAATTAAGCATTTTTTCCTATTCATACCTTCAAAATGAGTTTTGTCTACCAACACAGACGTCTCTCTATATTACCTCCCAGAAAATTAAGATGCTGTTTGCAATATTGGTACATGTTTACCAGATTGATGGTCTACATGATATCAAGCACACATTATTTTTAAAAGATAAAACATCTCCTAATATTTATTTCACTATAGCTCATTTGAATATGCTAACCATAAATAATAATCATTTTAAAGCCAACCTAGTGTAACTTCCATATGCTAACGAGTGAGCCAATTCTTCACTAGTTTCTGTGGGTTTACTAGCTGATGCCTTGCTAGGGAATGGTCAGGGTGGATCTCAGATCTATGGAAACCTTTCAGTTGTTTGCTACTTCATGAAGCCTTAGCAGCTCTAGGACTTGACCTGAAACTGTTCAGGCTACATAAGACTTGAAAGCCAAAAGAAATATAAAAATCTTAATTTGTAAGGTAAGTATTTGAAAATTATCTCTCCCAGATTTCTGAGGTGAACTTTAAATTGACAGAAGACACTCGGTAGACCATGAAAAAAAAGGAAATATTTCTCACTCAGCACCATTTTTAATACTTTAGCATACAGACCCAGATAGATGTCCACATTCCAGTGAGTGTCTAATTATATTATATTGCATTGTGTTATACTGTACTTTATTAGTATGCTAATATTATACACCTATGATTTATTCTTCTGGAATGAAGAATTAATGTCTAGTGTTAAAGACACATAAAATGACACTTTTGAGCCCTGAATCAAAACATGGGTTAAAAAATTCCAACAGGTGCTGCTACTGCAATGTTATGTCTTTAAACATAGTAATGAAGGAAATCCAAAACACATTTCACTTAGAACAGTAAGTGCATTTGATTATGTCAATCATTTCAGAGGAGGTCAGCCAATAGCTGTTTTTTTTTTGTTTTGTTTTTTTTTTGGCATCTACTGTTGTTGCTTTTGTATACACCTGAGGGTGATAGTCCCTATTTTTTTATTCAAGTTATTTCAATATAGTATTATTTTTCAGAGAAGAGAAGGGGACAAGATATAAGAATGAGTCATCCCAATAAGGGCAGTGTCGTGTTCCAACTATTTCTCCAAGTGCGTTTGCTCTCTGACGCATTAGGAAGCCATCAGGGAGATCAGAAGGCTGTCCCTGGTTCAGCAGGCAAGGGTATCAGCTTACAACTCTCCTATGTCCTGTGACCTTGGAGTCCTGATGCGGCTAAAGGTCATGTTCATTAACTGACAGTCAACCTTGCAGCATGGCTATCCTGGAGGTCTAGTAACACCTGCCACTGAGGGATAGCCCTCCTAGAGTCGGAATATTTCTTTTCCTTCATGTTTTCATCTTCTTTCTGTCCCTCCATTGAGTCCCATTTTGTGGGGAAACTTGTTTACCCAATTTGTACTGCTCATGGCTAAGGCAGGACTGGAGTGTAGCCTATCCAGGGACTCCATCTTCATTTCAGTGTGGGACTTAAGAAATGGAGGGTGCTGTCAAACAGGTTTTATACCCAATGATTGGTGGAAAATGTCTTTTGAGCCCTTCAAATCAATCCAAGCAGATAGTATTATATCGAAAGGTGGGCCTGCCTGAAATAAACAGACCTGACTAGTTACTGAGTGTGTTAAATTTGTGACTTTTAAAGACTGCTCTCCATGAAACTTAGCCATTATCCAGGACTTCAACTATTATAGGAAAAATTAGCAAAAATTCATTTGCTTCTGTTTGAAACTATTGAGAAAACTTTATGGCAAATGGAAAACTCTTCATTATAGGTATTCTGTACAAACCTGGATGAAGTCAAATATGGTAAGAGGCAGAAAGTCATCCAAAATTGCTATATCTTTGGAGAATCTGTTAATTACCCCACCTGTGATACAAATGAAAATTCTCAAAAAGTTATCACTTTTAAAAGGACACCAATATATTCCATACTAAATTTGAACTACAGCAAAAGCATTTAAAACAAGAATTATCATCTAATCAGAAAATCAAGGACTTATCAAATATTAGCTTTGCTCAAAATTCTGACTACGTACTCAAGTTATTGTCTCCGACTTTTGAACTTTTATAACACACAGAGCCCTCTAAGAGTCAGCTCAAATCAATGTCTTTAATCAGGTTCTTATAACTAAGGTTAGGTATGACTGGTCATCCTACTGCTCAGACTTCACTTCTGCCACTCTGAGTTTCAAGGTACCTTAATGGATGTGTTTTTATCCTCTCTTTATGTTCATCTCTACCACATAGGGCAAACACACCCTCCCTTCTGAAGTCCGTGCCCTCCAGATGCAACTCTCCAGAATCCACAGCTGTCTTTCAGTACATGCCAGATGGGATTCCTTTTTTTATTTTCCCTATCTTCTTCACATGCATTCTACATTCCAGACTCACAGGCTAAGTCTTGAGTATTTGTTGCCTCGGTGAACTAAAAATCCCATGTCTACTACATGCCTGGGACAATGCTGGGTATAGAGATTACAGAGGTGATTAACTCACTCTGCTTGGCCTTGAGGGATTCATTGTCTAAAAAGGAGCTAAACAAACAACTTGATAAAGTGTAACATAACACTATGACAACATTGTAATAGTTAACCTTATCACTTACTATTAACTGCAGGATAAAGTCCAAAATGCTTTGTTCAATATTTAAAATATTTAATACTTTCCCTTAATTTGTCCTTAAGTAACCTAGATTCCTCTATTCAAATACATGGTTTCAGGGAAATGTGTCTATTTTTTAGATAGTCTACCCTTTCCTACTTTTTCAGTCTGCCTATGTGTTGTTTCCTTCTATCTAAAACTCTTTCTCCTCATCTCCTCTTGTCAAATTTGTACCTCTTTCCTAGCTCAACTCAAATGCCCCCTTTTCAAGACAGATTTGGTATTTGCTGCATCTGGAAACAATCTCTTCCTTTCCTTGTCTGCAGGCCTGAGTTGCAGAGACTACATACATGCTGTATATCATAGTTGCTTGTATGTGCACATATCTCTTTTCCCACATGGTAGACTCTTGAGGTGAATAGTATTACTCCATGTTTATTTTATATGACCCAAGACCAAGGCAAAAATCCTTATGTAGACAGATGATATATATTACTTAACATATTCTTTAGCATAGTCATTAAAAATATTGGTATATCCTTCCATAAGTAACCCAGAGAAGGAATGTACAACCCCATGATATTTAATTGACATTTAGAAACTGAAAGTCCACTTTGGCAAAAGAGTATCATCAAAATGATATTTCTATTTCAAATTTTATTTCAGTCAGTACTGTTCTATCTAATATACCCACACTTCGCTAAAGAGCGATATTATTTGCTATATGGGCACAAAGTCATTTGAGTGTGACAAGGTGAGGAAAAGCAACATAAGAAAGTCAAAGAGTCAGAGGAAATTAAGGTCAAGGAAAATCAAGGTCAGTGTACAATTTTGAAGAGCACATCTAGGATAAATTCCAAGTAGTTACTGCCAAGTATAACAGAATAACTAGGTAACAGAAGGAGAATCATAAACCATGAATCTAATAGCATTTTTCAATGGAAAGCAAAATTCTTATGAACAACAACAACAAAAAAAAATGAGAGCAAGCCAAAGGGAGATGTTCTAAGATCAACTCACTCTTTTAGTTATCAGGAGTGAATAAGGAGGAACACAAAGATCACAAGGGTGATTAGGAATTAACCTAAAAGCAGATGGAAGCTTGAGAAAACAAGTGAGAAAAGAAGAATGTGTGCTGATCAGTAACACGTGAAACAGAGAAGGCTGAGAATGTACTGTAGGGGATGTTAGGAGAGGGGCAGGGAAAAATGTGCTTCCTTTGGGAGCCACACCCCACAGAGAAATGGTAAAAAGAAGCTGACGTTTATTTCACACAGGCTGTTAACAGCCATAATAACCATCCCTATGTGGCCAAACCCAACCTCAGATGTTTGTGTCCTTCCCACTCTGCTTCATGGCCCATGTTTCAGGATGCCAGAAACTGGGGAAACCCTACCCACTTGGGGTCTCAGAATTCGATAACAGCAAACTCACAAGATTGGGTGAATTGGCCATTCCCTTAGTTCTGAAAGTCTTAGAACAAAAGAGGATGGCCAGAAGAATACGTGAATGAGGCAGACCTTTGGTGAGACATAGAAAGGCTCCAGGAATAAGATAATTATCTTTCTAGTACACCAAGACTTAACTTTTGTCACCTTGAAAAACTGATGTGCATTTATTTTGAGGGTTTTAAGAAACATGCTAAAAATTCTCAATTCTGCAACTTATTCTACACTTAGTGTAATTTCTATGCCTGACATCTCTCCTTGCTTGTGGGCACCTCTGGGGCAAGAATGAAATCTTTTTTTTTTTTTTTTTTTTTTTTTTTTATAAGAATGAAATCTTATTCATGCTATGTGCCTGGCTTTCCCTGGCTTAGTACCACGGAGAAGGATCTCCAACTACTGCTATCGGAGCACCTAGGAGACTCATCATCTCACAGTCTTTAAATGTGAGCTTATCCATAGACAAATCCACGCAACACAAGACCCTTATTACCACAGACTGAATCAAACGTTGGGTTCTTTTTCCCAATTCTCTTACTTCCTGTGACTGTAACTACAACAGTGTCAAATGCATGATACCAAGTACCGTGTGCTAGAGTTGTCTCAAAATATATTTAAAATCTTCCCCTGCCCCCTAAAACCTTTAGTATATTCTTATGACCACTCTTGAAGAGTCTCGGAAACAGTTATTTTCCCCTCATCAAGATACTTTTCATAGTAGGATTTTATATTTTTCCATGACAACTTCAAATTTCTTCCTCTTGTGAACAATATTATAGATGACAATATGATGTATGGGAAAAAGCTAGACCAAGTATGTGAAAAGAAAAATGCCAAGTTATCCAAAAGAGGCTGTGGCTACTGAGGCTACTACATCAGAATCACATTATGACAAAATGAGTTACCCTACTAGGCTGACAAACACTGGGAACCACAGGTCTGCTTGCTTGCAATACCTGAGAAATATGGGACAGGGCGGCTGACTACAGGGCAGATGTCTGTGTTCAAGCCCATGCTGCGGGTAGAAAGCTACTGAGCAGGCAGTTCCATTTATACACCTAGTCAACAGTACCTGCTTTCAGCGTGCTGAAAATTGACATTGGTGCATGAAGAATAGAATGTAACATTTTCTGGTGTAAAATTTTTGATGCTGTGATTAGTGTGTGCACCAGTGGCAAACCTCGGAACAAGCCCAAGGCAAGCAAAGTGTCAGCCACTCCCACGTAAATATAAAAAATGTAATAGAAGCTGGTACTGGTGATAATCACAACGTAGGTGCTATTTGAACTTTTAGTATCATTTTTTCCATCATGAGTAGGGTTGCTGTAAAACAAAAGAAAAGTGTTATTTTACAACCAAACTTGTCAACAGAATCATAATAAAAGTAAGTAGAAAGAAGCACGAACTATTGGCTTAAAAGAGATTACTACTTTAGTTTTATAAAAATTTGTCTTGCAAAACAGTTTTAAGTTTTCTTATAATTGAAATAGATGTAATTGATACTTATTTGAGCAAAAACCTAGTAGAAATTATTAAATGTAAAATGCTTCTTATGTATTTTATTGCATGTCATGAAAACTGAAAACAACTTGTATTTTTTTTAGAAATAATTAAAGAGCTGAAGGCACCAAACAGCTTTCAACTTGAACAAATACAGTAAACTTTATGGATCTCCTGAGTATCCATGGATTCAGCTACTAGTGGATTAAGGAAATGGTTCTTAAAATTGTATCTTTACTGAACACGCACATACATACTTTCCTTGTCATCATTTCCCTAAATGATTCATTAACAACCACTTACGTAAATCTGGAGCTATTTTAAAGCATATGTGGTGACATGTATAGGATACATGCAATTATTACATAATTTTACATATGGAACTTGAGTGCAGAATTTAGTATCTTTGTCCTGGAACCCACTCTATTCAGAAACAAAACAAGTAAAACTTGATTTTCTCCTCTCACAATCTGGAGGAATATGGAGGGTACAATGAAACATAGTAAATATGGAAATATTTTATAATCTCCAAATGGAAACAAAACAAAATCCACAATAATGTGTGGAATACTCACTTTTTAAGAAACCACAACACAAATAAAGACGCAGCCACCTGGAAGGGAAAAATCCAGAGCTGATTTTTTATAGCACCTTTATCTATGTTTCCCACACTCATTTCTATATCAACATGACCAACATCAAATCCCAGAAATACATACTTATGAATGGAACAACAAATGACTTTTCTAAAGAATGGGCCTAGATCCTAATGTAAAGTTATTTCCTAGCTGTCACATGAATTAATCAATCCAAACTGTTTCTATTGACTATAGTAAAAACATTTTCAAAGACTTGGTAGGAGGCCTTTAGGAAAAATATTTGAGGGTTAAAGAAACAATGGAGTAACTATCATTTCACTCCAGAATGCTTCAAGGCTATAAAAATTCATATGATTTTTGAAAGAGAGACTCCTAGGTGATTAAGATATAGCAGCAACAAAATAAATAATAGTCATTTTCCATTTCTAAACATGATGCCATATCACATGGAATGCAGTATAATTTAATTCGCAGATTTTTCACGTATTTCACGTGACAAATCATGCTCTAAAATACACATCCACAAAAAAAGTAGTATTATGGGAACACTCTTTTTCTATTTTATTACTGATGCAAAGTCACTCAAGGACTCCTGATTAACAAACAAACAAACAAACAAACAACAATAAAAAACAAAAACAAAAACCAGCAGCTCTCTGATGCATGCTTAAAGACCATAAGACAAAACAGTGAACAGGATCTTCAGATGCTGCACTCAAAACACCCTCTGGTTATTGTAAAGGAAACAGGAAACATCCCTTAATCCATTGTTTACATTTTCCCTTTCTAGTGCATGATACACTGCCAAGAAGGGCCACTAGAAAGCATAGCATAATAGAAATATTAGTCTCTGTGCTTAGTGTTATTAAGAACTATAAAAGACATTGCTTTTGAGAGAAAATGTATAAAATATATACTCTTTCAAAATGACACATGACTGAAAAATGTTAGCAAATTAAATATTCATTTTTTTTCTAGTTTAGCAACTGTGAAGAAATAGGAAAAGATTGGGTGGGATGCTAAATTTATTTCATATTTAAAAAAAAAAGAAAACACATTGAATGAATGCTACAAAATCCTAAATATAAATGGAAATACAGTTCTTGTTTTTGTTTTGTTTTGTTTTTGTTGGTTTGTTTTTGTTTTTTCAAGACAGGATTTCTCTGTGTAGCTTTTAGAGCCTGTCCTGGAACTCACTCTGTAAACCAGGCTGTCCTCGAACTCAGAGATCCACCTCCCTCTGCCTCCCGAGTGCTGGGATTAAAGGCGTGCGCCACCACTGCCCGGCTTGAAATATAGTCTTTATTAAAGCTTAAAATAGGTAAACCACTTTGATAGAGGAGGATATGTATCTTGGTGTTTCTGTGGTTATTTTTCATCTTTAAATATAAGGATTTATCAGTGCTTATAAAAATTGAACACCATTGTATTGGCACCTGTTCCATAACGGAATGTACCAGGAAACACTTCAATAGTTAAAAGAAATACACAAATTGATACAAAAAGTTTAGTCTAAAGAAAAATCTATGTAAATTTTAATTGAAAGAAACACAATTGTAGACATCAGCAAATATGTTGTTTAGCTGTACAACTGTACACATCATTTAAAAATTACTATATTTCTATTATTGCTTTTCTTGTTATTCAGCATTTTGAGAGCTACTTAACTGGCCAATGCCTACAAGACATTGGGAGAAAAATCATGTCATTAGACTGTTTCCTGTCCCCAAGAGGGCAAAATCACTGATGCTTGTCCATCATGACTTTTCCCTTCCCCACCTCTCCCTTCCCTTCTTCCCTTACTTTCCCTTCTCTCCTCTCCCCTCCCCTTCCCTTCTTTTCCTCCCTTTCTTCCTCCCTCCTTTCCTTTTTTCTTTCTTCTTTCTTTCTCTTCTTTCTTTTCTTTCTTCTTTCTTTCTTTCTTTCTTTCTTTCTTTCTTTCTTTCTTTCTTTCTTCCTTCCTTCCTTCCTTCCTTCCTTTCAGTAATAGTGACAGCTCAGTGAATAATGGGTAGTTACATGGCCTTTGCTTTCTCTTCAATAGTTAATTTCTTGACCAATGACAAGATGTGTTTTCTTCTTAGGTGCATGTTGATGGTTGGGATATAAAACGGCCAATGGGTTCATGTGTTTGAATACTTGGTCTCAAACTCCTGTGCTATTTAGGAAGGCTGTGGAATCTTTAGGTTCTTGAGCTTTGATGGAGAGTGTAGATCTTTGGGTACAGGCCTTCAGGATTGTTCTACTTCCTGTCATTATTTACTTTCAGAGTACACATACAATATGACCCACCACCCAATTATCTCTGCTGTCATGCCTTCCCAGCCTCCAGGAATAGATCCTCTCAAGCACAAAGCCAAAATTAACCCTCCTTTCCTTAACTTATTGGGTGCTTTATCACAGCAACAGGAAAAGTAATAGAGAGAAGTAATACTATTGCATACTTGTGTAGTAAGTAGGTCAACATACAATGAAATAATGATGTCATTATGAAAGGCATTCAAGTCTCCCTCAATGGAAGCTTCCTGAGACAAAGGTGCCACAGATGAACAAGAATGACCACCACTATGAGTCAGCACCTGCATAGTTAGTAACTAGACTAATATCTAGAATTCTTTTCAGTGCTTAATTTCAATCAACATTCAATTTCAATTAATACTCCTTATAGTCTGAACTTTTGGATCTGATAAAAACTAAGTATATGGAAGATACAATGAATGACATGAGAATTATAGGTAATAAAACTATACTGTACTTGGGATTCATGCTAGCTGTGTGGATTTTAGTGGCTCTTATCACAAAAACAAATGTTTTTTGAGATGATAGTTGTGTTATTAGCTTTGCTACAGTAACCTTTTCACAATATGTATGAATCTTTAAATATGTTGAACATATTAAATATGCCCAATAAAATTTATTTTATGACAATTCTTCATATACAGTATTTGTATTAGAGTATATTTTGTTATGTCTGAAATATTAAAATATCAATAGTAATTCTAATTGTGAATTTTTAAAAAAAATTAATTTACTTTTATGTGTATAGGTGTTTTGCCTGCATATATGTCTGTGCACCACATATATGGTGCACACAGAGGCCAGAGAAGAGCATCAGATTCCCTGGGACTGGAGTTACAGATGACTGTGAACCACCATGTGGGGGCTGGGAATCTAACTCAGTACTCTGGAAAAGTAGCCAGTGCCCTTAACCACTGGGCCAACACTTCAGCTCCTGTTGGCTTTCAGAAGCTATGAACTATCCAGGCAATTACCATTGCTCAGATACATGTGTGCGTTTATATGTATGTGCCCATACCATTGTAATCCTTGATTTAAAGTCACAGTAACAGTTTACAACCAAACATTCTTACCTCAACCAGAAAAACAACCAAGCACCAAATCAGCACTACAAGCAATCTTTTATGGAGAGTAAAATATCGGAGGTATGTGTTCCATGTCGTCACCGGGGGTATCTTCACCATATCATCAAAAAAACACTCCTGAGAAAAGAAGTGTGATTCTGAAACAAACCTATTCCATGCCACCACTGAGGTTTTATTTTTAATTCAGGGGATAAAGGAACACTTGTGGCTAAGCGGCTTTTAACAAATACAAATTATTAGAAATGCCATGTGTGATGGCCATAGCAAGCAGGATGTCTGCTGGAGCAATGGAATTTTGAAAGGTAAGAAACGCAGTGACTCTTGTAGAATGATGTTAGCATGTGAACACTTCACAGCACCACGTGTTCTGTCACATGAGTGGGGCCATCAGACTGAAGTCCCCAAACTCTCCTTGACTTAACTTGTTTCAGTGATCCATGGACAAGTGCAGTTCGGAACTTGCTAGCTACTAAGTTTTTATTTTAAAAAGCTGGCTTGTGTTTGTATATTCCTTAGGCATTATGGTTTTTTTTTTTGGTTATTACTTAAATTACAAAATTCTAATCCTAAATATATTCCTTTAGAAGCCTTTGTCTTTTGGAAGTTGTATTTTCAAAATGTGAAAAAAAGATTCCTTATATATTCTAAAGGAAAAAGATGGGACTATTCCTCATAAAAATCCATGAAGTTCATAAGTGGTGTTAGACTTACGGAGGAGTCCTGTTAACCTGGAGTAAGGTTCATTGATTAGAAATTAAAGATTGTGGGATTGGATTGGCCTTTATTTGAATTCAAAGCCTACAAGTAACATCCTAGGATGCTTGAATGGGTATCTGGTGCTGAATTTCTCAGAACTTTATTTTTTTTCTGCAAATAGGGGCAATGATATGACCTTTTATCACAGTGAAGGGGATAAAGTGTGTTGCCTGGAAGTTGAAGCAATTGATGACCTAGTAACATAATTAGTCAAATAAATCATTTGTTACAATGCAGACTGACTAAAATTTATAGACTTCAATTTGGAGTTTCACTTAGATGGATATTAAATCATATAGATAAATTATATTTTAGCAAATCATTTTAAGGTTATAGAAATAAATGTATATTTGGGGGAATTACTTATCCCTTTATTTCACAACACACTGAACTCTGACCCAGAGATATGAAATGACTTGTGATTGGCCAAAAGGTAACTTTCTATTAAAGACTGGCACTACTAAACATGTCCATCTACTAGGACTGTTTTTCATTCCATCTCAGCCACAGGCATTGTTTAGTAAACAGCAGCCCTCCTGGTTTGCACTGCTTCCTATTTTAAGAAAAGTTATTTTGCTTCTTAACACTCAGTCTGAATACTGGCAGATATATGTCGAGCTTCACATATCTTCTTTAAAAGAAACCCTTTCAAAAATGTAACACAGAAAAGAAATCTGAAAGATTGGAAGGTACACATTAACTAAATTTAGGCATGAATGTGAATCAGTCTGGTCAAGGAGCCGGGTATTTGTAATCCTTGTCAAGGCCATGCCTGTTTAGAAACACTTCTTGATGTCTACATAAATGCACACATTTGTTTACTCCATTCTGTTCTGAATGTCTAGACACTAAGTCTGACAATTATTAATTTATAATAACAAATATCATATCATGGGCCTAGTAAAGGGACTCAGTACTAAGCCCTTGTTTGGCTTACAGCTTTTGTGGGGAAGTGACATTTCAATTACAATCAGAAATAGTTATTTTATATTTTGAAGTTGCTTACATACTTTGTACCCTTGAACCCAGAGACTGCAATGGAATTCTATGCAACATGTAATATGTATCAAAACTTATTGAAATTATGGAGTTAGGAGGAGGGCATCTTAAGACATGGAAGGGACATACCTTTAAATCATCTTCATTAACTTCTTCAGTGATGTTCAAGGCACTGTCTTCAGACAGCCGTCTTGAATATATATCTACTTCATTTAAGCTTATCTGAGGGGCTAAGGAGATTTTTCGAATGGAAGTCCTTGTCCTCTGGAGGCTGCTGAAGCCCGGGCTAGGTGTGTATGTCATGAGGTCCAAAACAGACTGTCTCCTTCTTCCTGGAAGTGTGGGGCCAGAGGGGATAACGTTGCTGCGAGGCAGAACTGCCTCTCCCTGTTCAGAATCTGGGGCTAGGGAGAGTCTCCTTTCTTGGGGCTCATCAGAATCTCCTTCTGTGCCTAAAGGAGTCCTTTGTGCAATGGAGAATTTCCTCATAGCGCTGAATGAATTTAGAACAGAACTCTTCCTTTTCTCTCCGTACTCTCCAGTCTGTTTAAATGACTGTTTGGTTTTGGTCCAGGCGACAGAGGAATCATCTACTGAGAACCTGCGTAAGGTCTCAGTTAGAATTGAACTTCTTCTGTCCTCAGTAAACTGGTCAAAAGTATCATACCCCATGAGTTTCGAACTGAAGTCTGGACGCAGACTCTGTAATTCCGAAAATGTCCCATAGAAATAGGTGCTGCCCTCATGCAAAATTAGTATTTTGTCAGCTCTCTTTAAGTGCTCCATCTTAGAAGTAACCAGAATCCTGGTTTTGTTGGCCATCAATTTACAGACACAGCTTTGGGAATATAAAAATATATAACATATTACTTCATACATAGTGGTGTATATTTAATTTTAGCATCTTATTAATGTTTCACTGCATAATATCTCTATCATGGTATTTTGTTACTTTATTTAATATGGTTATATGGATATACACTCCACAGTAAATATTAGGTACCTCTTGAATTGCAACATGAAGTATCACATCATGCTGTAAAGGTGAATACTAGTACACATAGAATGAAATTCAATTTTTGATAATCAATAATTATATGATTTCAACCAAATCATTATCTCTTAGGCCTTGGCTTATTTCTCTAGAAAAAAAAGGAATTGTTAGATGATCTTTAATGTTCCTGGAAGTTTGTATTTCCATATATCTTCTAAAATGTCAGAGATTTTCTGTCTTTAATTTTTTTAATTTTCTCGTGTATTGTATGTTGACTAATTCATTTTTTAAACAAAACATAACTGATAAATACGTAATCAATTTAACTTTCCTCCAAAAAAAATTTCCTATACTTTAAAAGTAAATCTTGAAGTGTATTCTCTAAGGGAAATCAGTTTCTTTTATCTATTAACTCTCAAAAATAAGAGCCATCACTACATCCTTAAATATAAACAATAGGTAATTTTATGAGAGTAAGACATTAGCTATTACAGTCATTGGTGGAGTATTAAATTTAATGGAATTTTCTCTCTCCGTGTTAAACTAGAGAGGCCTGTTGAGAACAGACTTCTAAAAGCCAAAAATATGTTGGAAGGCTGTGGTACAAACCCATATTGCTGACACTAACCGAAGTCTCAGAACCAAAGGACCATCCAAGCTCTTAAAATCAAAGCTGTTTTTTCCCCACAGTGAAGCTAAATTCTATTGTATGTAAAGCAAAACAAACAACTGAACACAGAAAAACAGCACAATGACTCCTGGAAGAGTTGAACAAGCAATCTAGGCAAAGGTAACTGGTGCCCTGACCCAAGAGAATGGCTCACATGAAGTTCTGGAGCAACCTTCCTGCTGAGGCATCACACAGAACCCGTATCATTCTGTAATACTCAAGAGTTTGTGCTCTTGTATTATTAATGGCTTAGAAAATGTCTGTCTTAAGCTGAGTTATATGCTTAACATAGTCATGGTTATTGAGGATTCTGATTGTACAAACTCAGAGAACTTGATGCAATGGCCATTACAGAGCAACTTTAGAGATTCAAGATAACAGGTATGTTAATCAAGGCGGTATTGAAGATGATGCAGTAAGCTTTAAGGGAAGTGGAAACATAACTAGGGCCTTCTATAGTCTTTTTCATTAGATTAAAATTAAGTAAGAAAAGATTGAAGCAAACTATTAAGATTCCTTATCATGTATGTACTTCTTCACTATAAATTAGTTCAGAAACTGATGAGCAAAACTGGGATTGGGAAGTATGGAGTGCAGATGTGTTGATGGAACCTGGCATTTCATTCAAAGATCGGGGATGACGTGTTCTTGGGATTGTGACTAAATAAACCATGTTAATTAATACATTCCATTTAACTGAGACATAAACTGAAAATGTCAAAGTAGTGTAACATTATTCCACCTCCAAATCAAAGTAGCTTCAGGACAGGGGGCTTCTGTTGGCTTCATGTGTTAAATGTAGTGAAGTCCCGAATTAAAATATATTATTTAATATATCATACAAGAAAATAAGCAGGAATCTAGACTATTTCAACTATTGGCAATGTTCTAAAGTAAACTTTGAAATAAACCAATAAATAATGAAATCATTTAACACACACAAACCATAGCCTACCACTTAAAAAAATTCTTTGTTTCTAGAGCACTATAATGTCTATTCTAATAAACTACTTTGTTGTCCATGAAGTTATTTTTAAAATTTGAAATCAAGTCATATGGCTAACTGTATCTCTTAGGGACTTCACACCCATTGGGCTCTACTAAGAACTTCACAGAAGTTATATCCAAGTTCTCTGTGACCCAGGTGGGGCTGGGTCCAAGAAAAGACTAAGGCAGATGTACCAGGATAGGCACTCGCCATTAGACAACTCACTAATTTTTATCAACAATACAGAATAAAATACTAATACAGAAAGATAAATGAAATTTTAAAAATATAACTACTTAAAATACTGAAAGACATGTCTCAAGATAGCAATAATGTAAAAAGTATTTAAATATCAATTGCTATAAAAGGACAGCAATCAAAGAAATTGGCTTTACAAGTGATCATCATAAAAGGTTTTGAACAGAAGCAATCTTCAACCTTGGCCATGAAGGGGAGGCCAGAACTGAATAAGTACTGTGTTATAGTCTTCTGTTCTGAGTCATAAAAATGGTGAGCATATTGCTCTAGCCTAGTGGATCTCAACCTTCTTAATGCTGTGATCCTTTAATACAGTTCATGTTGTGGTGACCTCCAATCATAAAATTTTCATTGTTACTTCATAACTGTAATTTTGCTACTGTTATGAATCATAATGTAAATATCTGATATGTGGGATATCTGATATGCAACCCCTGTGAGAGGGTTGCTTACTCTCCAAAGGGGTCATGATTCACAGGTTGAGAACCACTGTTCTAGAGCTAATATGCAGCCTGTGATGATTTTTGTTTTATTTTAGCATAAGCATTATACATAACTCAGTCAAAGAACATACTTTTCAAATATTTGTTCTTCAGTTAAAACATCTAGATATCCAAAAGGAGAATCCAAGAGGTACAAATCAGCATCTTTATATACTGCTCTGTAAACAAAGTAGAAATGAAGTTAGGGTTGTATTTCATTTAGAACTGATATTTTAAACCCCTGACATTCGTTACAGAATTGTCATCAGATCCCTGCACTAAAGTGCACTTTTTACAACATGGGGCAGAAGTAGCACTGTTAGTGACTTCTTCCATCCCTATGCTATTAATAGTGCAGACTATATTAAGTGAGGAATAATGAGATACTTTACTTTGCATCTGCTCCTTATAGTCTGTCCTTGAACCCCTTTCATGAGTGTTACACACAGGGAATGGAAAACAGTACCTATGCTATTTAACTTTCTTTTTAAATTTTTCATGTGTTTGAGTGTTTTGCCTGCATGTGTGTGTTTACACTGCATGCTCAGGCAAAAAAAAAAAAGTATCAGGTCCCCTGGACTGAGTTACAGATAATTGAAAAGCAGTAATGTCAATGCTGGGAATTAAATATGGATTCTCTGGAAGAGCAGCCAGTGCTCTTAACCACTGAGATATCTCCCCAGCCTTTTTTTAAACTTTAAATTAAAAATAAAAAACTGTAAGCAATTTTCTTTGACTTACAATAGTAAAAACATAAAGATATATTTTCCAAACTAACAAAAATTAAGTAACTTCTTTATAACTTTTAAATTTTTTCAGGCATGATTATTAATAATGCTACCTCTATCCTAGCTACAAAGTTTATGCTTTAAAATATAATTGTTGATACTTTTGTTTTCAAAATGTACTTAATATCACATAAGAAAAGCAATGAAACAAAATAGGAACAGCAAAAATTCTAATAAAATCATAAAAGCCCTTTATGTTGTAAATTGTCTTGAAGGCAACATAGAAGAGCTAATGGACTCCATGGAAATGCATCCTCAAGTCCTTACCCACATTTGGCTTTTACTTTTTTCTCTGCAATACAGTGTAAATGTAATTTGTCCTCCTTGAAACTAATCCAGGTTCTTAATCTACTGTAAGTTTCTGTAAGAAGACAGAAACCTTACTCCAATGGTGGTGCTTGGAGGTGGGACCTTCGGAAAGTGCCTAGGATTTAGGAAGATCATCAAGGTGTAGTTTCACGATTGGATAACTGTGGCTTTATGAAGAGAGGGATACCAGAGAACACTCTCCCCCCTTCTCTCTCTCCTTTTTACTTTACATGTGATTTTCGATGCTGTCTCAAGACTCTACCAATGAGATACCATCACCAGACTTGACTCCTTAACCTTAGACAATAAGTGGGAACAAAAATAAAGTGATTTTCTATAAAATTTACTCAGAATGTGTTGGCAGATTATTAGCAAAAGGCTAAACACTCCCCTTCACATGTACGACCAGTGTCTCAAGATTAAAATGTATGTATGTGTGTGTGTATCTGTGTGTTTGTGTTCATCACACAGAAGGTGACATATTGCCCATTTGGATGAGAGTAACAGTAAACAACTGTTTTCAGTAGTACTATACATTGTACATGGCAAATATGACTAAATCTTGAACTAGTAAAAGTAAATACTATGTTGAAGTCACATACCATATTTAACTTAAATCTCAAATGTAATGCTTCAGATACGGTCATTTGATCACAGATAAGGGAATTAACTTCCAAACGATTATGAAGCCATCATCTTACCTGTGAATTCTCTATATCAAGTGATCTGATTTCCCAGTGTATTATCAAGATCAGGGCACAGTTGAATATAAGGAGTCAAGATGACCTGGATTAAACAGTGACTGTACCATTTCCTTGTGGCTTTTGGCAAGTTAATGTCTGACTACCTCAATTATCTTGTGATTTCTTCCATAAAATGAAGAGAACAATTTCTGCTTGTAGGGTTGTGGGTTTGTATGGGGCTTGAGATCACACACACACACACACACACACACACACACACACACACACACGAGAGAGAGAGAGAGAGAGAGAGAGAGAGAGAGAGAGAGAGAGAGAGAGAGAGAGAGAGAGAGAGAATGGTATCAAGATATCAGTTGTGGGTACTCAGTGTTTACTTTTCCAGGTTTGGGAAGGAAAATAAAGAAAAAAGGCCAAGATGCTACTGAGTCAATGTAATTTCTCATTAACAACTTTGGTAACATAATAAAAAGAATTTTGTTTGAATAAAACTAGAGACCATCTGAAATTCCATATCACCAATTGTCTTTGAACAGGGCTACATTTAACTGTTTTCTTCCTGACAAGAACTGTATGTGCTTCTTTTTGACAGCTTCTAATTTTTCAGTGCACTTTCCTAGTATTCACACGACCCTGAGGACAATCAGAATCCTGAATAAAGGCATGTGCTCAGTATATATCACAGCTGGGTGTGATGGCACATACCTGTAATCCTAGTACTCAGAAGCAAACACAGGAAGATCATGAGTTCCACATAGGGAGATCTTGCCCCTTGTCTCAAAACAAACAAGAAATCTTAGTCCTAGTGACATCATTTGCCTTATTACTTTTGTTACAAAATCATAAATTATATTCTAAAATTTAAAAAATAGAAAATGTATATTGTCAAAACTGAGAAGCATTGAGTGGAGGAATCGGGACAGGGAGAGGAAGGGGATGCATAATGGAATTAATAGAAATTCATAATTCCCCTCCTGTCCTTTTCAGAACTCTATAGTTTTCTGTTCATAACAATATATGCAACATAACAAGTATGAACAAATAAAAATAAGAGTATGTATTTTGAAAAAAGCCATCATCTTTACCAAATCTGAATATTACGCTCTCTATAGTTCTTAAAAGAAATTGTCAATCCCAGAGACAAAACATGAAGCAGTAGAGAAATGCAAATATATAATTGTATATGCATGGCATTTACAGCAAATGCTCACTGGAGCAAAAGGTAAATGTTCACCTTGCTAAAGAAATCCTTGCACGTTGACCTCCACTCAGTGTGACTCCACCTTCTCCGAGAACCGTGTGGTCTTTTTCTGCAAACTTGGAGATGTCCTATTATCAAAAGCATGACACCAGAAAGGAAATTTAATATAGTCAATCTGAAATAAAAAGCACATTTTCCTTCAGATGCAATTGTATGGGAGATTCCTGCTTCAACTATTCAAATGTTTGAACACTGCATCTTAACTTTTTCAAATGCAATGCACACAGGTGGTTAAAAAACATGGCCAAAATTCTGGACATACAACTTTTTTTTTCATTTTAAAAATATTATTCATGATCATTAAATAAGATTTGGAAAATATAAGGAGTAAAATGCATGTGTATTTGTGGAATATTTATGTATGAAGACTACCCATAAGTCTATCATAAAAACTCAAATCCTATTCAAATGTTAAAATGCACTTTCAATTTAAAATCATTCTTTAAAAAAAATCTCAAAACACTGAATACGTGTGTTAACAAGAGAAGCTAAAACTATTCACACCCAAGCAATACATAGGCATATTCAGTGGCTGTGAAGGGAGAAGGCAAGCTATTTCCACATTTCTCTCACTCACCTTCCCAACAACAGCACAAACATCCTTATCCATATCTATTATTTCTGTGTCCTCACCCACTCACACTACCTCTTCTGTCACCTTCCTGCCTCACGTGTCATTGGTCCCCCAATAATGAGTGCCTCTGTGGCACCAATCATGAAGGCACAGTAAAAGAAGTTTCTAAGACATGGTCCAGGACTCCAGACAGTGTAAACCTCATTAAGAAGGTAAGCCATAATCCTGGAGGGAGAATTAACCTAAACATAAAATAGAACATTTTACAGCAGATTAGAAGATAGTACATAATTAATTGGCAAGTTAACTGTTTAGCTAATAGAAGTAACCACAGAGCTGACAGAAAATATTAGAAGCCTTTCATAAGAGGTTTCACCTGAGATATGAGTGATGATAAGAGTGAGGTACCGATCTTTAGTTTCCTCTTTCCTCCCGGCCCCATTTATTCTTTTCTACCGCCTCCTTATCTTCTCACTGTACTTAAGACTTTCTTACATACTTCTCTTCCTTTGCTTTTGCAAGTCAAAATAATCCATCAACATTTTATTTTCCATAAACATTCCACAAATTTTTTCATTTATTTTAGCTAATATATGAAATTAAGCAGAACTCCATATGCAAAACTATAAACAGAAAGCATATAAACTAAAAAAGTAATCACTTTCATTAAAAGCTATTGAAAGGTCCTGGTCAGCTAAAGCCATGCTATTCACCGTTACCAAAGAACCCTTTCTGACAGCATTCCTGACATGGAGTGACCAAAGACCTGTAATAAAACATTAACTTTCCAAATACTACCATCGCAGAGATGGTGTCTTATTAGGGTTAGGGTTTCTATTACTGTGGTAACACATAACCAAAAGCAACTCAGGGAGGCAAGGGTTTATTTCACCTTACAACTTTTATGTCCATCACTGCAGGGAGCCAGGGCAGGAGCTCAGAGCAGGAATCTGGAAGAAGGAACTGGAACAGAGGCCAGTTGGAGTGTTGCTTACTGACTTGCTTCCTATGGCTTGCTTAGCCTGCCTTCATATAGCACAGGACCACCAGCCCAGGGGTGGCACCGCCCATGGTGGACTGGACCCTCCCACATAAATCATTAATCAAGAAAATGTCTCATAGGCTTGCCCACAGGCCCATCTGGTGGGGGCATTTTCTCAATTGAATTTCCCTTTTCCAAAATGATTCTTGCTTCTGTCAATAAAACTCTAGCTTATGATATAAAAAGTAGCTAGCACAGATGACTGGAGAACTTTATTTCACAAGGATAAATTAGGTAATTATATTTCCATTTCCTCTATTACCCTATTACTTACAGAAAAAAAAAAGGAGAGGATGCAGTATCACTCCCAGAGTTTTTCTAAAACAAACCCAACACCTCTTCCTGTTCATAAGATGACAAATAATTGATAGAAAATTTCCATTGGAACAAAGTGTTTTCAATCCTCACACTCTCTGCTAACTGAGTAACATACTATGAGATGAAACACATACTAAATAAATGCTCTAGTGCTCATGCACTGTGACCACAGAATACCATGAGAAAGTAGGTACATGCAAGCTGCCTTCAGGTGGTTCTATGAAGTCATTTGTCACTCTTTGCTTGTGGTCCAGACTAGATTAAATTGTGAGATGTGCAATTCTTCCCTGGCATTTGCTCCCACTTCCCCTACAAAACCTACCATTAATATCATCAAATATATTTATGCTTTTGTGATCTGTAGCTGGAAGACATAGTCTCAAAAGTGGGATAACTGTATCAAACACGTATGTTCTATTTTTACAAGTTACTGCTACATTGATTTACAAAGCATTTTACCACTAAATAATTACATTTTACAAAAAAGAGAATTATATTTACCACTAAGTTTTAATAATACCATTATATTTATGATTAAACTAATTTTTGCTAATTTCCTTTTAATTTACATTTTTCTTAATCTCAAAGATTTTAAATATTTATTTGCTATGTTGCTTTCTCTTCCTTGAAATGTCTATTATTTTCCATGTAATGGATTTTAGCAGCTTTCCATATATCAAAAACATTTCTCCTTTTCTCTTATTTTTACTATGCATACCAATTATAGGTGAAAATTTAATTTTTTGTGAAATCAATTTATCTACTGACTACCTGCTGGTTTTATGTATTATCTTGAATTTTCTTTTCTTTTTTAAATAATTTATTTAATTTTATTTTACGTGCATTGGTGTGAGGGTGTCAGATCCCCAGAACTGGACAGTTGTGAGCTGCCATTTGGGCACTGGAATTGAACCTGGGTCCTCCGGAAGAGCAGCTAGTGCTCCTAACCACTGAGCCATCTCTCCAGCTCCTTGAATTTTATTTTCAAAATAAAACTTTTAAATCCCTTAAGGCACAATTTTATATTTATCTAACCTTATTTTAATTGTTTAAGAGGCAACAATACTCATCAAATGAATAATGTTTAAATGTTTATCATCTGTCATAGTTCATATTTTAGGGTTGTCTTGTTTTTCTTGTCCATTTTTTTCCTATATTAATACCTTTCTGGAATTTGGATATTGTGATTTTTTAATGGATTTACATATTATTTAATCCCTGATAAAGCATAATCCTTAATTGTAAAATAATTGGCTTTTATTGGCTACTTAGCCTTTGACATAATAACCATATCAACTATTAAAACAATATATGGAATCAGACAAGGAGCAACACAAGTCTCATATATTGACTTGAACATGTTCTTCTTCCTCACTAACGTTTCAAATACAAGGAAGATTAATACCATGGTATCAAGGCCATAGGTGATGAAGCCACAATTCCAGCCAACGCAATTTGTCCATAAAATAAGTACTTCTAACATTTTATATTAAGTTTAAGATAACCTCATTAGAAATGATTTGCAACTTTAAAACACCGTATATTTACATAGAATTCTAGTTTGCAACACTAAATTTAATTTTAAAATGTTTTTCTCTTGACTCAGATGTTGTATTAAATAATTCAATAAGATTTAAAATTTTCTTCAGATTCTGTCCTGAAAATGTCATACCTATCGCTATCACTAAACGTTTTAAGGTTTGCCACTATTGTGAACTGAATAGTTGTTCCCATTTATATTTTTAGATGATTGTATTTCTATGAAGAAGAACTAGATATCTTACACATCTGTCTACAATTTGCTAATTTGATCATAGAGATAATATGCTAAGTCAATTTTTTCAAGAGAAACAGCAATAAATTAATATTTCTGAAACAGAAGATATAAAATCTGCAAAACTCCTTTGAACAGGAGGAAGAGGTGTGATATTAAGGGAGTTTATGCACATAAACATATATCATAAAATTTTAACAGAACTTTAGATATCATCATTAATGGAACCTAGAAATATTTGGTTACCTTGTTGTGACAAATTCAGAATCAGAGGCTTTGTTTTCTTCTGATTTTAGAATCATTTCAAAAAGATCTATTTGGATAATGAAAATACTGAAGCTTCGGGCAAATCTCTACCTTTCACATTGCTTTCCTAAATAGCAAATGTGACTATGAGCATGTCTGAAGCCCAATTAAACAGATGTTGGTTAATGCCATGATACAAACGAGTATTTATGTATTTTTGCATATGTATGTAACAATAATTAAGAAAAAGAGACCATCAATTTGAGAAGGAGAGGGAGAATGAGGGAGTTGAGGGAGGGGACATGGGAAGGTATGTAGAACACAAAGGGAAGGGAGTAAGGACAGAATTACATTTTAATTAAAATTCTAAAATGTGAAAAAGAAAACCTCACCTCTAATTTACACCATATAATTCTAATGAGCTATATTCTTAATAAATGAAAATGTAATACTATTAGGACAGAATGGCTTTGGGCTAAAAAGAGTATCTTTAAAAGAAGGCACAAAAGTCAAAACATAAAATTACATTGAGACAAAACTGACTACATAAAAATTATAACAAAAGATATCACTGTAGAGGATGAGAATGTATTGTATATAGCTGCTGGGGAGGTCTTTCTGTTTGCTGTGAATGTGTTGCTCTGATTGATTGATTGATAAATAAAAAGCTGATTGGCCAGTAGCCAGGCAGGAAGTATAATATAGGCAGGATAAGAAGAGAGGAGAATTCTGGAAAGTGGAAGCCTGAGTCAGGAGATGCTGCCAGCTGCCCCCGCCATGAGAAACAAGATGTGAAGGCAGAACTGGAAAAAGGTACCAAGCCACATGGCTAAACATAAATAAGAATTATGGGTTAATTTAAGTGTAAAATCTAGCAAGCAAAAAGCCTGAGCCACTAGGCCAAACAGTTTTAATTAATATAAGCATCTGTGTGTTTATTTGGGTCTGAGTGTCCGCGAGCCAGGTGGGACCAGGAAAACTCCAACTACATATAGCTATCAGTCTAGATTCTCCAAACAGATAACAACATGGTATTAAATATCCAAGAGTATTATTAGGAGAAAATACTGTGGAAAACAAAAACACACAGGGAAGGCAGAAGGCTGAAGAACTC